GGCCCCTTACGGCCCAAGCGCAATATCAAGCCATCTCGTGGCATCAAATCTAGGCCCTCGGCCTCATATCAGTATCAGTATAACATTGCTGCGGCGTGAAGTCCGATCCAAAAGTATCCTCACAATACAGGCCCTCGTCCTTACTCAGTCAAAAAAATCACATAAGCCACTCGGGCAACCGTAAAGCATGATGCTCAACCCAAAATAATTTTAAAAATATCATTTCGAGTGTTTAAGGCAAATAAACTTGGCCGAGTTTTAAAACAGTGGAAATATATAATTAAATCAGTGAGGAATTATCAACAACAATCCACGAAGGGTTCAAATAGCTGGCACGAAGTCCAAATATGGCAATCAGCCCAAATTATGATGATAACAAATAAATTTCAGTCAAGTACGCAGTAAATTCATCAATCGGGACGGACTAAGTCACAATCCCTAACGATGCTCTACCCCACGCTCGCTATCCGGCATGCAAGTCACCTCAATATAGCACTACGATGTGCAAATACGGGGTTTCAAACCCTAAAAATATCATTTACAATCATTACTCACCTCGAACCGGCGAAATCTCTAGCTCGCGACGCCTTTGCCCCTCAAATCGGCCTCCACGCGCGTCAAATCTATCCACAACCAGAACGAATACGTCACAATATGCTAAGGAAACATTACCCAATTGAAAAAAATCGCAAAATATCAAAAAAAACCAGAGCCCCGGGCCCACTTCTCGAAACTCAGAAATTTTTACATCAACGGGTTCCTTATCTCCTCACGAGTTTATACATACCAAAAGTACTAATTTCCGATAACATTTCGACCCTCAAATCCTCAAATATATCCAAGAGGGTTTTCAAACTTTTCCAACTTAAAATCACTAATTACATGTTAAAATAACAATGGATTCGGGTAATCTAACCAAAATTGAGTTAAGAACACTTACCCCGATGTTTTTCTTGAAAATCTCTCGAAAAATCGCCTCACCCAAGCTCCCTTGGTCCAAAAATGGAAGAGTGAGACGAGTTTGGACTTCATTCTGCTGCCCAGGGATTTGTTCTTCGCGTTCGCGGTCCTCCTCTCGCGTTCGCGAAGAACAAAATTTCCAAAAGTCATTTTTCAAACTCCTCGGACAGCCTCTAGTATAATGGCAATAACTTTTGCTGCAGATGTCCAAATAACTGTTATAATATGTTTCTGGAAACTAGATTCAAAGAGTTACAACTTTCGTTTTTGAATCATCTCAAAAATTCATTGTAGATTGAGAGATACGAGCCTCCGAAGTAAGACCTATGCAACAGAAATTCTTCTTCTTCGCGAACGCGAGTCTTTCTTCGCGAACGCGAAGAACAAAATCCCAGAAGCCAAATCCTTCTTCGCGAACGCGAGGGGACCCTCGCGAACGCGAAGAACAATACTAGATACCAGCTTCAGCTATTGCAAAACAGCCCGAAATGATCCGAAACCACCTCGAAACACACCCGAGGCCCTCGGGACCTCAACCAAACACGCCAACATATCCCATAACATTATTCAAACTTGTTCCAACCTTCGGAACGCTCAAAACAACATTAAAACACCAAATTTGCATCGGATTCAAGCCTAAGAATTTCAAGAACTTCCAAATTCCGTTTTTGATCAAAAATCCAACCAAACCACGTCCGAATGGCCTGAAATTTTGCACACACGTCATAAACCATACGACGAAGCTACTGAAACTTCCGGAATTCTATTCCGACCCCTGTATCAAAATCCGCCTATCACCGGAAAACGCCGAAATCTTCAATTTCGTCAATTCAAGCCTAAACCTGTCCACGGACTTCCAAAATGCATTCCGATCACGGCTCCTAAGTCCCAAATCACCTAACGGAGCTAACCAACTCATAAAAATTTCGATCCGAGATCATATACAAACAAGTTCAAATCTTGGTCAAACCTTTCAAATTTTAAGCTTTAATTGAGAATTGTCTTCCAAATTCATTTTGCTTAATCCTGAAACCAAAACAACGATTTACATAAGTCATAATACAACCACACGGGGCAAATCATGCCGAGAAACATCTCTTCTTCTTTG